CACACACACACACACACACACACACACACACACACAAAGAGAGGGCAAATATAATCTATCTAGTCATTTTGTACTGCTTATCTGAGGGTTAGGCAGGTCAAGAAGAAAAGCCCCGACTTCCTTCAATCAAGCAACCCTGAAGAGAGGAATGTCTATGGGGCTTCTTTCCCCACATAAAATATCAGAAGACAAACAAGAAGCCATAAAAGAAAAGACATTAATAATATTTTTGAAATATGTTTAGCCTTTATTCTCTTTGCCTCAAAGAAGGGATGCCTGTCGTTTGTTCAGACTGCTTTCAATCTAACATCCTTTCCACTTTTCTGTGAAATTGTCTCTTTTAAAGGAATGGTTCTGATGAAAACTGGGATTCACCAATCAGTGAAACTGAAATCAAACTCAGTATGCCTGTATTGTGTTTTGTTTCTTTACATCTCATCTCATTTGTCTAATTCCTAACAGTACTATGTCCTCCAGTTCCAATTATAAGAAAGTATGTTTTGACCTGAACATGTATTTTAGGTCATTCTCAAGACACCAWTGCCTTTTTCCCCAGTACTGCCAAAATGAGGAACACCATGTTTCTGAGTGATGATGAAAARCATCTTCATCCATGTTTCTTAGACCAGACTATTGCAATTTTGCATTGTCAGTCTGTTCTTAAAAGACTGTGGCARGCTGCCAGCTGAGCCTAAATGCAGCATCAACAGTTCAGAACAACAGAACACGTTACCCCAGGTTCCCTCTCTGTGAAAACGTGAAATTTAAAATTAAATTAGATTCTGTCTTAATGAAGTCCTTCTTGTCAAAATCTCTTGAAGTCTGGAAGAACTCAGTGTGCCACATTATCTTAACAAATACATCAAGAGTGGATGTGATTCCAAGTGTTGTGGTGCTTTAGACCTTGGTTGGTGGGGGACCTTTACCCTCTTTGATGACCTGCATTTGTACACCACTGCTGGTCATTTCTTTTCTTCTGCCAGAGTTTGTGCTCTTTCCCTTCTGTTCTTCAGGTAACTGTAATTCATTGCCTGGATGTTTCTGCTCAGTACATTGTGCATCAATATGTACAATAGAGTACAATAGAGATGTTAAAAGAAGAACAGTATCACACTTTCAGATTATGACTACACCTGAGTATTGCTATGGTGTATGTCATAAAATTTAACTAAAGCTGTCAGTCCAAAGGAAATTAATGCCATTATTATACATCAGTGGTGTCCAATCCTGGTCCTTGATAACCACTATCCTGCATGTTTTAGAAGTGTTTCTGCTTTGGCGTGTTTGAGTTGAATAAATGAATGAAGACCTGTTAAAGCAGGAAAGCATGGCATGAAACAAAAAGAAGAAATGACACTATGGAGTTTGACTAATTGAAGATTAACAACGGCATCTTGGCCTTTGTRGAGTTTATTTAGAGCAATCTTTGCATTTCCTGTGGATTGTGAGACTAAATTGTTGAGGCACGCGTTCAAGAATCAATGCAGTGGCATAAAAAGCTGCATTAAAAGTGACTTGTTGCAGACCTATAATGGCTTATTGATTACACAGAGCCACGAGAAAAATATAAATAACTTTCCTCCTTAGGGATGAATATGCATTAAATTCAAGGCAATCTGTCATGACCTTGTTCAAGACTGACTATATTTGTTTCAACAAATTGACACATGTTAAATCACTGCAGTACATATTAAAACTAGTCTTTCTCTGAGGGTAGGTTATCGGTTTAGACAGCTAAGCAGCAAACCAAAAACAGATGAGCCGCTCTAGGAGATTGCATTAAACCTAAAAATTAAATGGGTGCTAAGACTCCAAATAGAATACATGAATATRAAGTATAGACTAAATGTGCAGCTAACGCATAACTAAATTGTTTAAAAAATAATTGGCCTCTGACCACCAGGTGATGATTGACAACAGACCAAYAAACCATTATTTGGCACAAGTCTATGTTTTTCAGCTATAAATGTTTTATTCTTTGGTTTCTTAAATAATTGTCTTGTGATGAATTTTGATAAAGCTCATGTGTAGTGTTATTACCAGACTTTCTTCATGTTTTATTGTGCAGTCTGATTTGTGTTTCCTTTCACACCTGGTCTCAATCAATGATTCCATTTTGTGTTTGCATCTAATTTCTTCTATCTGTTAAGATAATACTCCAGGGTTTCACTTGTTTCTTGTTCATCKTTTTTTGTTTTGTTTTGTTAACTTCCTGTTAGAGATAAAGATAAAGATCCCACCTCACAGGATCAGCAGCACCTTACGCTTCCTGATGTTGTTTCCTTTGTATGGATTCATTCTTTTTTTTTCTTTACAGCTAGGTTATTGTTTACACATATCTGTCCTTTTCAACCGTGACTTTTTACAGTTTTATTGCTTTCTGAGTATGGCAAATTTTTAATTTGGACTTTGGTTTCTGTCTCTTACGTGTTATTCGTCCCCTTCCCTAACAAAGTCACTGAAGAGTTTTGTTGTTTTTCCATTCATCATCTACTTCTTAAAGGCCTTGTCACACTAGACAACATATGCCAACTTATGAAACATTTTCTATGTCTAAATTGCTAATAAAAGTTATATATTTTAATTAATTTGTTCGAATTACATTATTTACACACC